GAATGTCCTTGAAAAGCCTTGATCAAGATGTATTGTATTCAGAAGCTGCTTTGTTCAATGGAAACTCTTTTGTACAGCTTAAAGATAATTTTAAATCTTTTTAAAAAAAGAAAAAGCCTATGTGCTGAAGGATTGCTGCCAGCTTGTGGTGCTTTTGAGAAGTAGTGGAACCTTTAGAAGGTTGGCCAGAGTGAAAGGGAAGTTGTTTGGGACTGCCCTTGACAGGGACATTGGGACCTTGACCCTGCCTGTTTCTAGCCTTACTTTCTGGATTCCATAAAGTGTACTGCCCTCTACCCTGTGTTCCCACCATGAGATACCGTGCCACCACAAGCCCAAAGCAATAGGGCCAAGTGACTATGAACTGATAACTCTGAAATCATGAGTCAAAGTAAACTTTTCTGCTTAACTTTATGATCTCAGGTATCTTGACACAGTAACAAAAAGCTGACAAAAACATGTTGGATACCACCTTAACACTGTGATCAAACTTAGCATCACCCAAAATGGGACACTTGGACATTGTTTCTTCCTTTGTATTATAAATAACATTTTGCTTATTATATTATAAATAACCTTTTTAGTACCCCACCTACCATAGACATTTAATCCGAATCTAAAAAAATTTGAGGTTAATAAATCAGATGTACCCCAGAAGTTACATATTCTACCAAACAACTAGCCTGAAACACTCAAAAATATCAGTTGTATAAAGATAGACCAGAATTAATTAAAGGAGACTAAAGAGGCATACATCTAATTTATGATCTCATATGGATCTCAGATCAGGAGGGAAAAGAAAAATTATTCTCATATACAAATTTGAGGCAGGCACAAGTGGCTCATGCCTATAATCTTCCCAAGCAGAAATCTTTCCAGGCAAAAAAGTCCTCAAGATTCTATCTCTAACCAGTGAAAAGCAGGGCTGAATGTGTGGCTCCAGTGGTAGAATGCCAGCTGTGAGCAATAAAGCCAAGTGAGAGTGCAAGGCCCTGAGTTTAAGCCCGGGTATCAGCAGGAGCGTGTGTGCGCACGTGCGTGCACACACATTTTTATCATTTATCTGTGTTAGAGCTGCATTTCCACCTGAATACAGTCACACATACTGCTTTGAAATAACAAGGAGAAATATAATGGGTGTAAACTATGTTTTTTTAAAATTGTTTTAATGATGTGTGACACCATGAAACGAAATGGTACCTTTACTTCAGTGTCTTTGCTAATCTACACTTTCATGAGCTGATTTGGCCTTGGAGCACATATGTGTGTGGAGCACTCTGAGCTTGATGAAAGAAGGATGTACACAAGGACTGGAATTTCACTCGGTGGTAGGATGTTTGCCTAGCATGCGTCTATGGCCTTGGATTTGATCTCCAACACTATAAATAAAGATAAACTACAATAAGACAAGATAAAGGAAAATGAATAAAATAAAACAATATACTCTACTTCCTCAACTCTCATTCCTTCCTTTCTTCCTTAAAACTATCAGAAAATTGTATAACTGCTTTCCTAATAATAAACTGAGAAACAAAGATGTAGATCATCAAGGTATAGAGTTTTTTGTAGATAATATATTTCATTTTTACATAAATAGTTATAACATGCATGCATATATATCTTTTTGAATTAAAAAGGTAAATGTTATGTTTCTAATCCTCAAGCATCAAATAATCACTTAAATGCTGATAAGTCAGTAAGTGTTGAGAATTCTAAATTCTAAGTTGAATCAGAAGCTGGAGAGATAGCACAGGTCACTAATTCTGTGACTCTCACTCATTTAGTAGGTAGAGAAAAGGAATCACAGAAGAACAAGGATTTGTCTGAAGGTCAACCAGCATGCTAAAGTAGCATCTGTGATTCTTGGAAATACCATGGCACGCAGAAAATGCCAGGACTCCCGAAACTGGCATGTAGTCCTTAAAATGTTGTGAATCTTCCCACCCTACACAGCCAAGCCAGATCCTTCATTTCATAGTTTGGGGAACATTGCAAGAATTTCCCTTCCATTTGTTGAAGATCTCAAAGCTGTACTAATCCCTCAAACACATGCTAATAAGGATTTTCTTTGATGAGAATGAATGGTCCCTAGAAGTAAGTTCCTCCTCCAGCCTCTCCACCCTGCACCCCAACCTATTGCAGAGAAAGGCTATTAGGTTAAAAGCTTATTTTGAGTCTTTTAGGATGTGAATTCTTGTTCCTGGTGTGGAGTGAGAGGTGAGAAGTTGGGGGGGTGGTTAGAGAAAGAAAGCACTTTTCCTCCAGAATTGTCTTCTCTTAATTTACATTATTTTTTTCTTCATTGTTTTAAATTCCTCGCCTCCTTGCGTTATTCCGAGTCCTTTGGCTAATCACATTTGTCCGCACTTCCTCCTCCCACACCATGAAATCTAGCCCTAGCCTGAGAGAAACAGATGGTAGGGCTTGACCACCCAACAGCCACCCACACCCACTACTGCATGAAATCCACGGTGACAGGTAAACACCTGCCTTCCACATCTTAGCCCCCTGACCTTGTACAAACTGAACTGTTACTTAGAATATTTGAAATACTTTACTTGGTGTAAACATCTATCTATCCAATATCTGTGTGTGCTTGCGGGTTTCTTTGTAAGAGGTTCCTAGCCGGGGAATTGCTTCTAATGAAAAAAACGACCAATCTTTTGTACATTTATGAATTTGTGATTGAGGTCCAAGATCACACTCTCCAATGTTCTTTTCTATTCATATGAGAGAATTTTGTTGGAAGAGGGGTCATCGCGGGAATTGAGAATTCAGAAACAATCATGTCAACCGCTTTTCCGTCTCAGATTCAGAGATAGATTTTTGTCTCAAACTCTTATTGTACCACACAGTGACACACTCTTTATTAGAATGAGTTGGTTTAGTTGAGCTTTATTAGTCCCTTTGTCCTTGATTTCCCCAATCTCACTTCACTGCAACTTAAAAATCAATATGTGTCTCAGATAATATTTTTTCAACCTGTGATTTAGTATCTAACTGCTCCGACATTATTTATGTTCTTCAATACATGTCCAAGAAGTGGCAAGA